CCATGGAGTCACAAAATGCGATATAAATGGTAATACAAGTTATGAAGTTTGCATATATGCTTTAGTTCTGCCTCTAGAGTACAGCAAAGTGCAAACTTCCAGTGGACCCAAAAGAGATCAGAAAGACCAGATGGGGAGTCTATTCTCTAAAAGGAGAATAATTTGCTTCTTTGTAAATATCTGATGCACTGGATGGATGGGGAAGGAGAAAACAGACAAAAAATATGGAGGCCTACATCTCCCCTTAAACTTACAGCAGTCATTTACTTACAGATAACTGAAGTATCATCAGTGACACAGATTTCTGTCTGTGTCCTGGATAATCATGAAGACTGCTGTGTGTCAGTCCTCCTTACCCACTAACTCCTCTTCACAGCTGGGATAAGACTTCTCAGGATCATCTCACTAAACAGCACCAGGCCTCTGAGGAAATGGGGACAGGACATACGCTTGTGACGAGGAGCACAGTTCTTTTTGGAAGAAGACTGGACATGAACACTCATAGGAAGAACACCATCCACAGTCTGATAAAAGAAGATACCCATATTTGAGGGATTTGGTGTAGGATGGGTCATGCTGTCTGTTATTTCCTTTTTGCAGTAGTCATTGAGTACATGGAGGTAGTTGCAGGGCTCATCTTCTTGGTTCAGACACAGGATACAGCACCCCAGACAAGCTTCGAGATTGCTGCCTGGGTGGGTCGCTGATGTACACCACACCCCAGTCATTCTCTAATCCTTGCTGAAAACTGGAAAAGTCTGTGCCAAACACAGCTTGGACAACTTTTAACCCAATCTGGGGGTTTCCTCAGATTAGGGAGACCACAAGTGTTTATTTTCTTGCTATCCAAATGTTGCAAGTCCAATCAAGAAGGGAAAGAAGGTCACAGAGGGATTTTAAACTTTTCTCATCAATATGCTCCTTTTCAAACCCAGAGTATATCCTTTATAATAATAGAATTTTGAAGAAAGCATCATCTGGTATCCGATGACATTATCAAATTGGCTAGGCTTTTTTTTTTTGGGGGGGGGGGAATCAATTAGCATCTGGGAGTACCTCACCTATACATAAAAATATACATAGTTATTTGATTTCAGAAAAAAAAAATACTTTCCAAAAAGCTGTCCTCTCCACTTATTTTTCTCTCTTTCCTATCCTACTTATTATTAATGTAATTTTAGGCCTAGCTTATTATTTGCAGTGGCATACCAGTCAGACACTACAGTCAGAAAACAAGGTCCCATTGCAATAGGCACTGTCACAAATACAAGCAGCTGATTTCTCTTTCAGTTAACGTAGAAACTTTCAGTACAAACAATCTAGGTAAGATGGACAGGGTGAGCAAAGGGTGATAACATGGTGAACGTAACAAGCAATGGTCGCAACTGCATTTTGTTCTGCATGGAAGGAACATATTCAAGAACATTAATTAATGCCTTACGATCTCTGCCAGTACTATCTTTCTAATTAATAATCACAGTTACATTTCCAAAAGACACCATATTCTAAATAGGCACTCTCTAAGCACTGTGTCTCCATATTAGGTCACCTGGCAGCAAGTAATTCTCAAAATAAAAGCACTTTGAAAATGTGTTCCTTAACAGCTGTTTGCCAGCAGTCACCATAAGGAAACAACAAGTGATTTGATTTGGAGAAGGAAATGTCTACCTCCTTTTCCGAGGGAGATATTTTCCTTTGGTTGGTTTTGGTACCTGTTAATTAGAGAAATAATAAAAAACCTACCTGAAATGTCCAAGTCACTTTAAAATTACTTTGAAGAAAGTTACTTTGTAGTAACTTTCAATCACAACTGAATTTTGTTCAGGATCAATCCTGCTTTTCAATGCTAAAAAAGAAAAAACCCCATGAAAACCAAAATACTTTCCATGACAAGTTACAACACCTACTCAACTGTTAAAACTTACCACGTATCATACAAAGTTAAGCACCACTGAATTAAAGCCTTTTCATTTCTTTTATGACATTTTTATTCTCAAATTTCATTCCAACGACTAATTTCTAAGCACCTTCTTTGTTTGTCAGCTTGAATCTCCTACTCCTGCTTTTCTCAGACAAAATGCCGCAAGACAGCGAACTGCCGCAAGACAGCGAACGGTCTTTGAATAAGGAAACTTACCCCAACTCCTGCTTTTGATCTGCCACAGTTATTTGCAGCTTTCAGCTCTCTTTAAACTTTCTTCTGTCTTACCTCTGCTACCTGCAGTGTTTAGAGCAAGAATTATGGCTTTACTGACATCTGGGAAGTAGCATGCAAAATTCTGGAACAGTTTACTAGTGAATAGTAATACACATAAACTCAACCATCAGTTGAAATGCCAAATTGATTTGCTGCTTGTTGCGGACTTTTCTTTCGTCCCATTTGATTAGAAATAATTATTGCTAATTAAGTACTTTGAAGGTTGGGTGAAAGTTTTTTATAGAAATGCACATTTCTGCTAATACTTCAGCAG